TCTGCCAGCCTCCTGATCAGAAGCCAGAACCCAAGCCCCCACCTGGACTCTGATACTTGAATTTTGTGTTGTATTTTCGTTTTGTTTTGATAGGACTACTTCGATACTTGACACTGCCTTTGTGACTCTCTCCATCCACAGAGGGCACCTGTGCTTGCCCGCACACACACACACACACACAGCTCCTGAACTCTCCACTATGCAGATGGGAACTCTGAGCCTGCTTCAATTACTTGAGTCAGGTACTCGGTGTTCAGCATGCCTTAGCCCACATTTCCTCCAGTGCCATAGTCGGTGGAATGCACTTTGTACAAAGATGTGTTGGCTACACATGTTGTAACGCAAGGCTGGAACGTCACGCCCCACATTCCCTCCAGACTGAGCAGCTTTCTCTCCAAAGGCACAGAGTCCTGGGGTTGGCGTGCCACAAAACCAGCTCTGACCTCCGCGTCCTGCACACGCCGTTCATGCTTGTCATGCTCCCTGCCGCTCTCATGTGGTTGAACAAAAGGCTCACCCCCCCGCTCCGTCTCCCACCATCAATGCAAAGAGTAGAGTCAGCATCTTTATCCTCACCTCTGGAAGACCTTGGAGATACTGGCGGGAAGACTGTGGATGCCGTCCATATGAATTTGATCCAATTGCACTGAATTCTGAAACCGAAGCTATTGTTTTTCAGAAAGGGCTTGAACTATGAGACCTGCTCGTTAGTATAATAGGGATATGATTGTGTGGGCTCTGGGCACACAAATCTCAAGAATGGCATACGCAGTGAGCAGAGCAGTTTTTGTCCACATCGTGATATTTCCATCTTCCAGTGAAATATAGATGGAAGCCATGACTAATGAATGTTTGCTGGTTTGGTCCCGAATTCTGCGTCATCTGAAGTTAGCCTGTAGCTTCTGAATTAGAAAGCAGTCGTGCCCTCACCTCGAGTCTGGAAAGGGTGTAGGTGGGGTGCTGGGCTCACTTTGTCTTCCACCCACAGGGAGAGCGACCTAGTTTCCCCAAGTGAAACCCTCTGCTGAACTTTACAGTTGAGAATAACTGCTGCTCATATTGTTCTCCTCTTCCCTCCCAAGTGAGTGAGAGTCCTGCTCTCCCGGAGTTCAGGCTCATTGACAGAGGACTGCTCTTCCTCTCTCCAGCCAGCTGCCCGGCCCGGCCCGCTATGTGCTGGGTACCGTAGGTGGGTCGTGAGGGGGAGGCAGCTCGCTCTAAGTGTTTAAGGTTCTGTCATCCTTGTCCAACTGTCTTGACTGTTCAGTAGCCCATACCAGAAGCTCCTCGCACCCATTTCCTGGGGCTGCTTTTCCTGGGAAGGGGATGGTTTTGAGGTTTTTATTTTTTAACTTGGTTGTGCATGAGGTGAAAGTTTGCACTGTAAATGAGTAAATTAGCTTTCCATTCAATGATTCGTACCTGCCTTGAGCTGTCACGCTGGCTGCAGTCTGCAGTGTGTCCTTGCTCGCTCCATTTCCACCCTGGCTCCCGGTTCTCATTTGTCTGGTTTCCTTGCCTTTGCATCTTTGTTTCTGGGCCAATGTTGCCTTTCTGGTCTCATGTGGCTGATCGTTCAAGGAACACGTTCCTCATGAATGCTGTTTGTTTTATAGGCCATTGTATTTTTTGGTGGCAACGCGGCCCCTGGGAGTGGCTGCCGTTCTCATTAGAAGAGTAAGTTGGGATCATAGTCTCTGGGGGGCCCTCCAGTCTCTAGCACCATTATGTAAAAAAAAAGTTTTTTCTTGAGGTTGGGTTTGTTCTACATTTTTCTCTCATTCTACTTTATACCTTCAATTTTGTCCTTGATCAGAATGGTCAATAAGGGTAGCTGGGCACCATCTACTTTTTATGGTTTCAAGTTAGAGGAGGCAGTGGTTTGTGTGGGTCATTAGTCCTGTGGATTAATTGCTTCTCTGTGATTTTGATTTCCTTCATTAGCCTTTGATTTGAGGGGGAAGAAACAA